CATATTTTTGTATAGTTCACAACTATAGGCCTGAGACGATCATCAAGCAAACTGGCAATTGACAATTGCTCGTTAACTCATACACAATTTCAGTGGCCTTTTAATATGGAATTAGGACTTTGAAGCCAAAATAAGCTTTGTCAGGCAGTCAAGGTAAAGAAATCAGACAAATACAAAGAATGATAGCTTTGTACCTATCATACTTTCAAAATGTAGTTGAGCAAGAAAGCCTGTCTTATAGATAATTATAGATATTTATCTGGGAAAAGTACAGTCTTATTGTGCATGTACATTGTTATGCTACTGCCAGGGCTTACAAAAGGCAGAGATTACAAAAATACATGTGGATTTATGATGCTTTAAACTAATGGGGATGTGAATGCCAAACAGAAGTGAAAAGAAAATTCAAAGCCTGTGGTTCCAGTTGTCAATTAAAGCAGTGCACTGTACTCTTGCATGGTGTTAGGAGTCTCTGTGCCATTTATTTCATGCATTCAACTCCCTTCTGGCCACAATGATCCTGGCACTACCTAGGTTACCACTGACTTAGTGCCTTTGGGCACCTCTCTCAGCAGCACTTATATATCTTCTGAAAGGCTGAAGCACCTCATGGAAGAAGCCAGAAATACAGATGTAGGTGGTGGGGTAGGATCAATAAGCAATATCATATTGCATTAGCTGCAAAAGAAACTGTAGTTGTTGGTGGCAATTCTGTTTATTCACTTCCTTCCACCAGTATAACCATTAGTGTAATGGACACCATATTTTTCAGTCCTGTTTTCTAGTTGTCATCAGTTTTTTAAATTTATTTATTAGATTTATATAACACCCATCTAGAATGTGTCTACTCTGGGTGGTTTATATATAACATAAAAATAAACTAAGGTAAAATCCAAATTAATCACAAAGTTCAAGATGGGGAAAGGAAAAAAAGAAGAAAAGAAAAAAGAGAGAAAAAAAGGAAGATAGGCTAGGTAATGGCTGTAGGGAAGGCCTGCCTGTATAGCCATGTCTTCAAGCTTTTGTTTTGTTCTTAAAAACAAGTTGGTGATATTCTGGATCAAAGTTATATAACTGCATTACCTTATGAAGGTAGGTAGATTATATACTGTAAAGTCATGTGAACAATTCATTTGATTATATTTTCTGGGATCATTTCTTCAGCACCACATCTGTGGACAGCTCGCCAAAGTACTAATGTCTACTTTTTATTACTAGGGTACAGAATGAATGTAGGGACCTTTCAAAACCTTGTAACATTAAGCCCATGGATGCACAATTTTAATATAGTGTATCATATTTTGGTGACACTCTGTAGATCAGTTACTAAAACATCAACTGTCTTAACAGTTGCTAATGTAGTAATTTGTTTTCATTTGAAAAAAGGAGAGTGTGCAAGAGAGAGAAAGACAGAGACAGAGAGAGACAGAGAGAACACTTCTACACTGTTCTTATTTTCAGCTATGTTGGAGTCTGTTGCAGTTGTGCAGAATCCAGAGTGAATCTAAATAACTAGATCTTACCAAAATCATGTATCTGGCATATTTTGTTCGTTATTTCAGTACATTAACTGAACTGTGGTGGCAGTTAGTTATAGTTCTTAACTGGACAATACTCCATTGAGCTCAGTAAAATATTAATTCATATACTGTATGCCTGCATTGTAAATCTTCCAATGAACTTCAGGATTGGGACTGTGTGAGTTTGAAAAGTCATTCTTATAGCTACCAAACTGTCAGCCAAAAGTTGGTTCATTGCACTGTTTTGATACAAAGTGTGTGTAAATAGTTGTCTTTGTTGTTGTTTAATCATTAAGTCATGTCTGACTCTTCATGACCCCATGGACCAGAGCACGCCAGGCCCTCCTGTCTTCCATTACCTCCCAGAATTTGGTCAAATAATAGTTGTTTTACACACCTAGCGGTTCGAAAGCATGCAAATGCAAGTAGATAAATAGGAACCACCTCGGTGGGAAGGTAACAGCGTTCCGTGTCTAAGTCGCACTGGCCATGTGGCCACGGAAGATTGTCTTCGGACAAAACACTGGCTCTATGGCTTGGAAACGGGGATGAGCAACGCCCCCTAGAGTCGAACATGGCTGGACAAAAATTGTCAAGGGGAACCTTTACCTTTACCTTTATATAGTTTTACTTCTAACTCAACTTTCTAAAAATTAGTACAATATTATGATAAAATGTAGAATGTGCCTTCTTGTAAGTGCATTGCTTGTTTCTTTTGTTCCATCTTGTACTGTCATGTATTAGTCAAATGATGTTTCTGAGTTTAGTTTTGCTAATTTTCTATTGCCAGTGTGATATTTAGCATCAAGTCATCATTCTGCCTATTCAACTTAATGGGAAGGCTCATCTTGACTTGGCTTCCCATTGTTCTAACAAGCTGCCATAACTTGTACATTCAGTACTTACTGTAAATCTATCATTGATCAGAAGCCTACTGATTTTATGCCTGGAATTTGGATGGCCTCCCATTCTTTAACAAAATTAAAATCACCTCCTCTGACTTACTATTTCACTCTAGTATTGATGACACATCTATACTATATTCATAATTCTAGTCTTACAGACAGACAAATAAGTAACTGCAATTGTGTTATTTTTTACATATAAATAGTAGAAAGGTTTTAATTCTAAGTCAAACTTGCTCAACTGAAATGTAAATTGTTGCTTCCTACAAAAAGAGTGGGTCCTTTAAAAAGATGGACTATCCGTTCAAAGGTAGTCCATCTGTCCAATTTTGTGGGGTTCTTCTCTCCTTGAGGCTCCATAATTACCCATTCCAGGAGACTCAGATCTAGTGCTTCCACTGCTCATAACTATGACCCTGTTCTGTCTTAGAATAATAGAAAATAATGGGATCAAACAGAAAATGTTTTAAAGCAGATCTTCATTCTGTGTTGCTACATGCATCTCAGAAAGCAAAGACATTACTTTAGAATCATTAAATTGTACTGGGACCATGGTCCACCATGTCTCATAAACCAGGTAGAGTTGTCTGTTGCCCATTGTACCTGTCAACAGAGGATTGGGTCCAGACTAGCTGAACTTGGGTACAGTCTGAACCACCTGATCTAAAATAGTTTCTCACTAATAAGTCTAAAAGCTTCAGTCTCTATTCCTCCTTTACCTCTTTCTCTCCCTCTCTTGATACTTCACTAAGTAGAAATTGAACTTCAAATCAGAAAATAGTCTGCCTTGGTACTTTTAATGGAAACAGAATATTACTTATGGCCTTTCTATGGGGAAAATTATATTTCCAGATGCTGCACTCTGGTAAATTCATTTAGCCTAACATTTTCTCAAGGCTGTACTTGAGAACTTAGAGATAATTGAACTAAGTGCTAAAATGTGAAATATTAAAGTATGTTGAGCATCTTCCTTCTTGTCCTGTTTATAGCAGAGTTGAAAATGACTTAAAGACATTGGAACATGTCAAATGACAGAACATTTCTTGGAACATCTTTTGCTTATTGTGTTGTGCAGAGTCAGAAACCTTCTACCTTTATGAAATGGAAAATTGTGGTGATTGGCCGATGGGGCAATTACACTGAAGCACTCTTTGGTACAAATCAGGCCAGAACTGCTGTAACTTAAGCTACTGCATAACAGTAGAAGTCACCAAACGCCTATGTAGTCTGTACTGTTTTCTTCCTTTAATTTTACTGATGCTAATTACTTTTTATCTTAAAATTTTGGGCTGGATTCTTTTCCTCCACTGTAAAGATGCCATTTTATGATATGGCACTTATCCTTCCTTGTAATCTTGCCAGCTTTTTAAATACTAAATTTGTAACCTAACCTGCAGAAAACTCTATGGTAGCATTAAATATACCTACGATTGATTGATCAATTGATTAGAGGTCACTCTCTTTTCCAAACAGTCAATGCAGGTAGCTTCCTGTTAATCAAAAGTCACTATTACATATGGTAACACAAATAATGTTGTGCTTGTAATCATAAAATAAACTTGAATCATAAAATTATGTAACCTTGATGCATAAATGCTTTCCCACTGAAAGCTTTTTTCACTGTTTAGCTCGTCTATCAAATATCTGGAAAAGGAACTTCATAAATGTAGAACATAAATGTCTGCCTGCCTTTGGAGATGTATATTCAATATATATTTTTATTTAAAAAATGTAAATATAAGGCTTATCTTATTTCCTTTTATGCTTTTTACAGGGAACTCCTAAGACCTACTTAGGCATTCCTCTCATATAGGGCTAAATTAGTAGTGTGGTCACAATAATACATGGAAGCCCACCATCAACCCCCCCCAAGCTCAGTGGTATCACAGACCTTTGTTTGTGAAGGCCTGAAGAGGCCCTGTGATTGTATTCAGACATGCAGAGCTCCTATGTTTGGGAACTCACCCTTATTATTCAGTTTCTCACTAGAGACTGCTCCAGAACTTGATGTTTGACATGCACAGGCCAGTGAGGCTGTGAGTTATTCAGGTGGGCATTACATGTTCACCTGTATCACAACATATTTAGTTCTGTACCAAGTCTAGTTATTGCCTAAACAGGACTCCTATCAATATAAGAACAGAAGATGGGAGTTATATCAAATGTAACAAGATATCTAACAATACAAGCTTGGCCTAAATCCTACATCCAGCTCAACAAGATGAATGGAATCAGTTAGTGAATGGTGTGCCAATACTTAAGTAATTTCTGTTGATTCAGCGGGTCAGCTCTGTTTCAGTCTATCAATGGAATGTTCACCTTTGAATTTCTGAGGCAACTCCAGTTGTTTTCATTGGGCCTATATGTAGTGTTGTAGCCTAAGTTAGATATTATGCATTATCACTTGGGAATCTTGATATGAACTAGCCAGGGGCACTGGCTTTCATATGCGTTACTTAATTTCTGTAAGCAAATATGCCAATGAGAAGTCCTGTAACTGTTCTATTACTGTCATTGAATTTCAAGCATTCATTATGATTTGCTAACTACAGTTTTACTTATTTTTGTTTTACAGATTTTGGCCATTGTATCCATTTTGTTCATTGTACTGTCCACCATTGCTTTGTCACTCAACACACTACCTGAGCTTCAAGTAATTGATGAATTTGGACAACTAAACGACAACCCCCAGCTGGCACATGTAGAAGCAGTGTGTATAGCTTGGTTCACTATGGAGTATCTTTTACGTTTCCTGTCCTCTCCAAACAAGTGGAAGTTCTTCAAAGGTCCACTAAATGTGATTGACTTGCTGGCTATTTTGCCCTATTATGTCACAATTTTTCTTACGGAGTCCAACAAAAGCGTGCTGCAGTTCCAAAATGTCCGCCGTGTAGTTCAAATATTCCGTATCATGAGAATATTAAGGATTCTTAAACTTGCCAGACATTCAACAGGACTTCAGTCCTTAGGATTCACCCTCAGGAGAAGTTACAATGAACTAGGTTTATTGATATTATTTTTAGCAATGGGAATTATGATATTTTCTAGTCTTGTATTTTTTGCCGAGAAAGATGAAGATGCTACAAAATTTACCAGCATCCCGGCATCATTTTGGTGGGCCACCATCACCATGACTACAGTAGGTTATGGTGATATATATCCCAAAACTTTATTAGGTAAGATAGTTGGGGGTCTGTGTTGTATTGCTGGTGTGCTCGTAATAGCCCTTCCCATTCCCATCATAGTCAACAATTTCTCAGAGTTTTATAAGGAGCAAAAACGGCAGGAGAAAGCCATTAAAAGAAGGGAGGCACTTGAGCGAGCAAAAAGAAATGGAAGTATAGTCTCCATGAATCTAAAAGATGCCTTTGCTCGCAGCATGGAGCTGATTGATGTAGCTGTAGATTCCGATAAGACTGAGGAAGCAGCCAATTCAAAAGAAACCCCTGATGATAACCACTTATCTCCAAGCCGTTGGAAGTGGGCCAGGGGGGCAATGTCTGAAGCAAGTTCTAACAAGTCATTAGAGAACAAGTACCAGGAAGTAAGCCAGCAAGATTCCCCTGAAAAACTAAACAATACAGCATCAACCTCTAGTCCCCAACACCTGAGTGCTCAAAAACTTGAAATGTTATATAACGAACTTACTAAAACTCAGTCTCAGACTAATCTTAATGCTGCCTACAAAGACCCATCAGCAAAGCCTCCACCATATGAGGAGGAAATAGAAATGGAAGATGTTATTGGACAGGGAGATCCATCACTACCAAGCCCCCGAGATGTTCTCACTGACATGAGAAGCACTTCTAGCATTGACAGTTTTGCCAGCTGCGCAACAGATTTCACTGAGACAGACCGTTCCCCCCTTCCTCCATACTCCGGCTCTCACTTACAGCTAAAGTTCCCAATTGAGTCTATCTGTTTAGAAGACCAAAGAGCAAGAAGTTCTCAGTTTTTATCACTCACAGGAGATAAAATGTTTTCCCCCAGAGACATGACCTTTGACTACTGTCCAGTGGATTCAACCATGAGCATGGACAATACTGGCTCCCAATCTCTCCTTCAAAGTCATTTGCACTATGATAGTGCTCTGGAGAGTCCTAAAAGTTCTCTAAAAGGAAGCAATCCATTAAAAAGGTCCCTGAAGGTTAATTTCAAGGAAAACAGAGGCAATGCTCCACAAACACCACCAAGCACTGCAAGGCCATTGCCTATAATGGCAGCAGGTGACTTCATGCAATCAACCCCTCAGCATATCAGCACCATTCTCTTAGAAGAGAATTCACCCCATGGAGACAGACCCTTGCTAGGTGCTGATGGTCCAGCAGCTAACCAGGAAACATCTAAAAAATCATCACCTCTGTTTCCAAAGCAAAAGTTTTTTACTTTCCCTTCAACAAAAGAGAGAAGAAGCTTCACTGAAATAGACACTGGAGAGGAAGATGACTTCATGGAGATCCCTGGCATAAGACCTGACCAGCCACAGGATATAAAACCAAACTACTTTGGGGATAAACACAAAGATGGGAACCATTTAGTGGAAGAATCTAGAGTCAGTTCGTCATCACCCAAAAGCTTGGGTCAGAACTGTACTCAAGACATTTACCATGTTGGTGGGGAAGTACAAAGGGACACTAGCCAAGAAGTTCACAAAATGGAAAACCATTTGTTTTCCCCGGAAATCCATGCAAACCCTGGAGAACCAGATTACTGTCCCTCGCGGGAAACCAGCATGTGACTAGTTAAGAGAGCAATAAATGGCAAAAATTCATTTGTTAAAACTGCAATTAGTAATGCCTATGAACTAAAAGATGGGAAGCCTCAAAAGTACATAAAATGTCATTTTTGCATGGCATGAAGAGTTGTTTAGTTTAAGTACTGTTTAATTTAAAAGTGGAAATCTGCTTTTTTAAAATAATATAAAAATAGAAAAAACCAGGAAAAATGATGCAAGGACAAAGAGTAAAATAAAGAGCTCTTTTTGAGCCTGTCTTCTGCAATGTTTGACATTTTTGATCCTTTCGCTTATGATTGTAGATATGTTTTTTTTAAAAAAATCTTTTAACTTTTTCCCTCTTGAATTTTGGAATTTGCACATGAAAGGATGAAATGTTGATGCATGTGTTCATAATGGTGTGAAACAAGGTGCTTTGAGCCTGCAAAATGCATACATTTGTACATAGCGTGGGTTTTTGGGGAGATCTACAGTTATCAAGGATCTGTGGGAAACAGGTTTCCTGGGACACAGATATTTCCTTCGCAGTCTGCTGCGCGGAGGATTGTACAGACTTATGTTGCAAAATTGCAACTTCTTCTAAAACAATTCGCCTATCTTGCTTTCTGTTTAAAAGCTCATAAACTATAAGTTATTTGTTTAAGTAAAGGACAGTGTTTCTCATTAATCTTTAAAGTAAACCATAGCTCCTATAATTTTTATTTGTATAGCTTCCACAGATTCACATGCAAGTCTTGAATAAAATTCTGTTAAGACTCTGTAAGATTTAATGACCAGAAATTGAAATTTTGATATAGCAATTCCCAAATTGAAAAGAAAGGCAAGACACTATTACATAATCAAATTATTTATGTGGCAATGAAATGTATCAAATTACCATGAAAAATTATTATTGTGTATTAAAAGTTTAACATTTTCTATTAAAGTTACAATCACTGAATGCGTTACTATTAAGACCTTGTTATTTTTGAAAGGCAGATTTTGTTACTGCATTTTTATTTCTAATACCTGTTTAGGAGCACTGTGTCATCTGTTCACTTTTCACAATGGGATGGACCAATTTCAGATTTTATTTGATAATAGTCTCACTGCCCCCTTGTAAAGGCAAAATCAGAAAACAAAATTTCCAAAGTAGACTGTAATTCAGCAAGTCTGAGCTCTGCCTAAATTTTGTGAGTGTGATACTAAATGTAGGCTTTCTTTTCAGGAATTTTTCATTCTTACCATATTTTTCATTTAATTATTGCAATTACTGAATCTAATTGAAATATCACTTCTACAGAATATGCAGTTTTTTCAAGGTATCTGCTGCATCACATGTATTCTGTACCACATCACAGGAGGAAAGCTGTCCTAGAAAAAGATTAACTTACATATGAGCTGAACTTTCCAAACATATACTTTTATTTTGCCCAATATCCATTATTATTTCTACAGATTCAAGGAGGTCACTTAAAAATAAGTTATTTTCAGATCACAAGACTCAAACTAGATTTCAGGAAGTTTTAAATATTTACATTTACAGTTTAGAAAACAATATTTGAATTGGTTCTTTCATCAACATAAAACATATCTATTGCACTGATTTTGCACGGAATATGCCATCTAAACATTTTTTTTCTCTTCAGCAGGAAAGAACCACTTTTTTTGCTGAGCTAAATCCAAAGATTTTCTCAATTTTGTTCAAAGCATATTTTTATTTTAAAAACTTTATATACAGCAGTGTTCAGTGATGTAAATAAAGGCTTGATCCTACACCTCTTAGGCCTTTGCTTAAAGATCACATGACAAAAATATTAAACTTAAAAAATCTATTTGGACCAAGTAAATAGCAAAATCATGTTTAGAAAAGAATTGTTTAAATTCCTTTTAATACCTCCCTTGGCTCCTAAGTAAAGTGAGCCCAGATATTTTAAGACAAATTTCAGTCTTAGAGCCAAATATTTCTGTGTGTGTGGTTTAATGCAAAATAAAATGTCTGGTCATTAAGTCGAAAAGTATTACTTTGTTCTTTATGACTGTCCAAATATTTCTACTTCTGCATATGATTTAATTCCGTTATGTGGCACTCTGCTAAACCCTTCCCAGTGACCTCCATTCAATTCCATGGACCTGTTTATTCATTTGCATTGTTTGATTAGTAGACGTTCTCAATGACTGAGTCTAAATGCTAGCTAGATTTCTAAAGACACTGCTTTGTAATTTCTGTACATTTTTTCCATCATGAAATCCTTTTGCTCTGCTTTTATAATGACAATTGTATAATGACCAAAAGAAAGAAAGGCTAAATGAAATGTTGGCCTGAGGTTGAAAATGGGAGTTTGGTCATTGGTTTCTCTGAAGTCACAGTTCTCAACCAGAGAAGACTCTTCTGGGCTAACATGACTGTTCTGGAGTACGGTACAAGTTTGAACCCCCAGTTCTTAAAAATGTCCTTTGTACTGAAATAATGACATTTTCCAGACCCTGAACTCATGTCAGACAGATTGTTGATGCTCCCATTTTATTAGGGGCTACTGACTTACTTCAGTGCATTGATGGTTTGTTTCCAGTCCCCCAAGCCATCCCCATTATGCCCTTTGCACTACTGAAAAGAGTGCACTACTGAAAATCAGAAGGCTAGTATTTTAAGACCTTTTAAGCCTGACCTCACATACATTATTAGGAAGAAATTAAAATGGCATCTGAAAGTGGATCGTCTTGAGAGGAGGGTGGTTTTGAAGCAGACCAGAATAATGCTTCTGCTGATTTAAGGCCACAAACCTAATTTTGGCTAGCACAGCCAAAACACATATTGCAAAACATACATAGTAGAACACACATATTGCAGAATATACATGCATTCATGATATAGTTCACTGTGGAATGATATCTTCATTAATCCACTGTGCCCTCTTCTTAAAATTGGTATTAGAAGTAAAGTCTTTCTCTAACAGAGGCATATTAAGATATATGGCTCAGCCATCTATACTCACAACTCTGAATGGCATGCAAGCAACTATACATCACATATAGATGATCCCCTTTTCTCAAGGTACTCACTTGATTCTAAGGGAACAATAACCCCTAGCATCTCATTATGCCCTCTACTGCCTTAATAGCAAAAACTGGCACCATTGTTTTGTATCAAGTTGGGATCCAAAGATTCTATAGCGTCCACAGTGTAAGTTATCATTTTCATGCCAGAAGAAGCCCTACTTAAGGTGCTTCTTTTAATTGGATTGGATATTTCATAGTTTTTTTAAAAAACATTGACATTTATATTCTAGGAAAAGTTTATAATGTTTACTAGCATGATTTGATTTTCCTAATTAATGCCTAACTCTGGAAAATACTTGGTCACAGTAAACATTTCAGAGAAAGAACATAGAGCAACAGACACACCATACAAGATGAAGAGCAGCTACAACAGGGAGAAAGACAGAGTTCCTGTGAGTACTCAGGGCTTATTTTAAAACAAGGCATATCTATGCTTATTGTATATCTTATTGTATATCTGTGTTTATATAATAAGGTACACATTATAGCAAAAATCTGTGTTTATTCTACTTGTTTACTTAGATGTGGTGCTTGATCATCAGCTGCTGTGGATCTGCTACTGAACCTACAGTGAACCCAGCATAAACACTCCCTTTCATTGCAGTGATGAGCAAATGCTCGTTAAAATTGCAGTTCTCCAACCAGCTCTGTCCACTGAAATCCAGGAGAATGCCTCAGTACAGAATGATTACCTAAGAATTTAGCAAGGGTCTTTTTATCACTCATAATATAATTTTTAGTGGTTGTGTTCTAGGTTTCTCTTTCCCTGCATCTTCCTGGAGAGGAGACAAAGCTATTCAAAGGTGCCGAAGGAATCTCTTGTGGCTACTCTAAAAGAAACTTCCACAGTATGGAGAGGGGCCAAACAAAAACAGTGATGGGGACAAAACCCAGTACTGTAATATTATCATAATGTCCACGCAATGTACATTTTTTTCTGTCCAGCCCTTACATATACATGGTCACAAGCAGGCTACAACATGCCATTACATTTTTGGCATAGAATAAACCACAAGAGTATAGACATATGTGGACCCAAGTATAGGGGATTTACAACATGTAAATGTGGCTACATATTCAAATGTCAGCTTGTACATTTTTTTTCACATAAAAACCTCTGGTGCTACAAAATCATCTAGTCAATTTCTTGTTGCCTATCACTTCTGTAGAGATAGCAGAAATAGCCAGTGTTAGGAAAACAGAGGAAGGAGAATCCCTCCATTATATTTGTAGACTCACTTTGCTGCCAATCTTGAATCAGGGCTGGTATCACAGTATCTGCTCCAGACACAGTGCTTTGCCTAACCCTGGGGGCTCTCTGGCTTGCAACAGAGAATAGCAAAAATGTTCCATGAACTCTGATAATTTTCCCCTAGCTCACCTTTTCAATGCCTGATCTCAGGAAAGTTATTTTTAAAAACTACCAGGATTCCCCAATCTCAAAGCTGAAGTCTCTTTAATGCAGCCCTCACTCACCCACAAAAGATGCTCTGAGGGTCATGAGATCACTAGAATAGAATTCAAGGGATGCAGCAGTTGGAAAGTAATATCAGAAATCCCACCCTCACCCCTCTTTAAGTGGAGTTACCTTTTGCATAGACCTGATGTGAAATCCTGGCTGGTATGCATCTCAGCGAATGAGGAGGCAAAAGACTGAATGATTCTACTGCAGAGTACAGCGTAGCATCAACCAGTCTAGGACTAAGTGTCAAATGCACCAAGAGGTCAAGCAATTCTGATCTGAAAACAGCAATTCTACTGTCAACTCGGACCCTCCATTCTACTCCCACACATACAAGATATAATTAGACAACTTGTATCGAAATTAAACTAGTTATATTATTGCAATGTGGCTCCTGCTCTCTTTGGGTACATTGACTTCTGCTTTGTAATAATTCGATTCACAACAAGCACCTGTTATTTTCAGCCCATCTGTTCAATGTCAATAGATAATCAGATAATTTCAGTCATGGAGAAACAGCTTCCCAGCCTCATATATTCATCATGTCCTCGACAAAGAGGCATGTACAGGCTTTTCCTAACATTGGCTGTTATATTACTATGTGTTTGTATGTTTCTGTGCACTGCTTTTCCAAAGAGGTTGTGGATTCACTTTCAAGGAAAGGAAAAGGGCTTGGATTCAGAGATGCGCAAATGCATGCAAAAAGCAGCTCTGCTTGCGCACAGAACAGAGGAGGAGAATCTGATTTCCCACACGGGCAGACATGTTTAAATTTATTGCATTTTGCTCAAGATGATCTCTGGGGGAGACTTTTCTTAAAAGGCCCAGCGCAACTCTTGCAGCCGTTAGAAAGTCCTACCTTTGTGTGTGTGTGTGTGTGTGGTCTGCAATCCTTAAGATGACAACATTCTCTTATTCAGGAGTATTTTGTCCTGTTAAAAATATGGATTCTGGAAAATAGTTTATTTCCCCTACCCCCCAAGTCTAACTAGGGGGACAAAGTGATGTTCCAAAATCACAGACCTTGTAGCAAATTTAGATTGATATCTCTATATATTCTTACCAAATTATGCAGAGCTTTACCTATGTACATCATATGCAAAAAAAGCTTCAGTCATGCAGATAAAATGAAACACTTAGGACTCAGTTTTCTAAACAGAGCTCAGCACATAGCCTGTTACATTGACATAACTGTAAATAACCACAAAATATGTACAATTATCACATTTATAAGTTCTGTGTTATCTCTTGTATTTGTTTTATATTCATAGTAGCATGAACTCAGTTTAATTAACCTTAACATTTATTCTCTTCTATG